GGAACTTAGGTATAGTTTGAGTAGACGAATGCGCATTGTTAATGGATGAATTTGAGTTTATTTTGTAGAGAAAGAGCTGGATACTCGGACCAAATTATTACACCTCAGCCTTAAAAACCTAAATATTCGAGAGGACTTTGAAAGACCCTCACAATATTTATTGATCACTTGCACCCTATTCCTATTCCTATTTTATGTTTACAATCTTGGCATTTCTGTAGAGGAGAATCGTTCATTACTCTAATCATGTGTTGTACCTGGATTGTATTTCTTGTATTTTTCCTTCGACAATCCTTTTTCCCTATATAAGTCTCTTGGTTTATAATACATGCCATATATTTGTTTTGCCAGATGTTCTGGCTGTTGATTTCTTTCAATTGTTGAATCGGATTAGATTGTGTAAGTCCTATTAAATTGATTTTGAAACTGTTTGTCACTGGGTCTGGTATGCTGCATTGGTTTCTTATCTCTGAAAACCATTTGGGTTGTTTGCTTGTTGGCTTGTGTCCCATTGTTGTCCTAACTTGTCTCCAGTTCAGCATATGTGTCTGATATCCGTTTGTTAACTGCTCTATGAACATGATATTGTGTTTACTAATATTGTATCAATTTGCTTTAAACCATTCTGTTTCCATGATTTCTTGTATTGTGTGACATTGTCCCTGTTCTATCGTCTTAACCAAACTGTTTTGATTGTTCTCTCTTATTGTAATCTTTTGATTTCACGATAACTGTAGAACTTGTCCCATGAAGTTTTTCTTGCTGTTAGGAATTTGATTTGAGTTTTCGAGAATATTTTCTGTAATCTATACCTAATTTTATAGGTGTTGTAATCTTCCTCTTGTAATTTTCCCACATATGTTTTGCTTGTTAAGATTTTGTATTATATGTTTTGTTTGTAATTGAACTTGTCTTTCTTGTGTATTGAAGATCTTGTATCTGAAGTCTGCATGTATTTCACTATTGATGGCCATTACTGGAAGCTTGTTTTATGTTTGAAGCCAGCTCTTATTATACTGTCGATCTTATTGCATGTATGTTCTGCTATGATCATGTCTTGCATGAGGTATTCTATGGTTGGAAATAGTACATGGTTGATATTATATCTGTATTGCTTATCTGTAATTTGGCTTTTATTGAGTGCTAATGTGACATTCCGCACTTTCTCTTTGGCCAATTGCAGTTGATGGGTTTTGTTACCCATTGTCATAATCCACACTCCTAAAATTTGTATAGCTTCTTTCTTTCCTTTGGGATATATTTTGAGCCTGCCCATTCGAACTGCTTTTTCCATTGTTGGGTTTATTGTAATTAGAGCTGCTTTGTCTGGATTGATCCTGAGATTGGCGATTTTTCGAAGCTTTCTGTTATTTTCATGATTTTTTCCATATTTTTTCTGTTGTTAGTGATTCAGCATGTATTATCCATATAGGTAACTGATGCTATCCTGATGTTGCTTGTTTTCCATTTCCCTTGTTTTCCAGATGGTCTTTGAATTTCGAAGTTGTAATCCAGTTTTGTTGTTTCAATTCTGTAAATAAGTGGATCATAGTATATTCTCCAGAGAAGTGGTGAAATAGTGTCACCCTGGTCGATTCCTATTGTAGGATTGATAGGATTGGTTAACCCATGGCACATAATGACTTGGTTGTTGCGATTTTCTAGAAGATTCATGATTATGTTTATAATTATGTTTAGGACTTTAATTCTTTCGAGTGCTTGCTTAAGTAAGTCATATTTCATCGAGTCATATGCCTTGCTTATGTCTTGGCTCAGTAGCCAGCATTCTTTTCCTCTTTTCCTTGCTTTCTCTAATATGTTGTTGATTATGCTGATCGGTTCTTGTGTTCCACCACCTGGAAGACCTGTCCAGTTTCTTCCTAGTAGAATGTTGTATTTTGTAAGTACCCGTGCTAATCTGTTGTTGATGATTTTAATAAACACCTTTTTGATTGTTTCTAGAAGTGTGATGGGTCTGGTTTGATCAAGTTGGTGTTGCCAGTTTGTTCTTTTTGGAATCGGGTATATGATATTTGTTTCTACCTTCATGATATTTCTCCTGTAATAAGTATTGTGTTAAATAGTTTGGTGATTCTATCGAGAACTTCTTTCCCAAAGTTTTTGAGCATCGGATAGCTGATCCCTGATTTGCCTGGTGCGGAATCGTTGGACATGTTCTTGATTACTTTTGTAACTTCGTCTGCTTTGATTATTGATGTTGTTATATAATACCATGTTGTTTGGATGTCTTCTCTTGGTCGGTATTCATGTGCTCATGTTGTCAACTCTTGTTGTCTTGTCTCTTTTTCTATCAGCCTATGTTGTTGGAAGTGTGCTTCTACTTTTTTAAATTCTTCTGTGATGATTTGTGTCTCTGTGATTATCCCGATATTGATGTTTTCCTCTATACAGTATATCAACCAGGTTGCTCTTTTGATTGTGTCATTGAATTCCCTTACATTGTATGTTGCTATTCTCCATGTCTTACATGTTTTTCTCTCTGTTGGGCAGAATGGTATTGTATTGCTTTGAGTGTTTGGATATGGTGTGATTTGATGTTGTGGGTGTGGTTGGTATAATGTTTGTTGTTGTGTTTTTTTGTTGATTGATTGAGGTTATTGTATATATGATTGGGTCTCCATTGTTGTGTTGATGTTATTGTTATTGGTGTATGGAGTTGGTTCCTGTATGTCTTCATTTGTATGTATATTTTCCTCTGGGTAGTTGTCTAGTGAGTTATATAAATTTGATAGATTGTTTGAAATGTTTTGCGCATTGATGCTTGTGCTTTGATTGTTTCCCATTAATATTGATTGGTTATGTTATTTGTGTTCTCAGGGATTAAGTTGTGAATGGTATTCATTAAGTTGTTTATTGTTTGGTTCATGTTTTGGATGGTCACATGAATCTGTTTCTGTTGTGCTTATAAGTCTTGGATTTCGTTGCTTTTGGTAGATTTATTTTCTTGAATGTTTCCTAAGGAGGTGTTATTTTCTTGTGTGTCAGAGATGGATTCTGTTTCTTCCATGGTTCTTACTCTATCCTCATCATAGTATTTTAAATTTGTGATTCTCTCATCCATTTCGATTATTTGTTGTTTGATTTCAGTTATATCTTGCTACAGTTTTTTGAGAATATTGTAGATTTCTTGCAAGTTGCTTGGCGTCACTTTCTTGTTCTGTATATATGTAGATGTTTTAACTGCTATGACATATGAGTCGGGTTTTACTCTTCTGTGTTGCTGTTGCATTGGGATGTGTTTTCTGATGTTATTCATTTTGGCTGGTTTGTATTTTTCATATAACTGTTCGAATTTTGTTGCCTGTTCTTGGTTGTATGCCTGCCAGTGATTTCATCTTTCTTTGATAGGGCACGTGGCTGCGGGGTGTGTGTTACAATCGCAGATTGCACATAGTTTGGTTTCTATCTGTGTCCATTTTAGAAGGGTTTCTTCAATTGAATATATTTCCCCTGTGGCTTTCTGCAGATCTTCTTCTGTTTGAAAACCGATCACTGCAAATCTTTTTCTTTGGTATGTTCCTCTACATGGAATATAGCATGTTTTTGCTTTAGCCAATTGTAGTATATTGCGCAAGTCAAATGCTGTTGTGTTTGGAGGCAGATTTGTAAACTTAGCTACTATTTGTCCTCTTTATTTTATTTGTATGAAATCTCATTGTATATCGAAGACCTGAATAATATCTGCTTTAAATGGAACACTCCACATGTCTGTTACCCAGTCCTTGCTGTTTTTATCCATATATGTGATAGTTGTGATTTGCCACATTTGTTGTGTGCTCATAGCTATTCCTGTAATTTGTCCATATTTGACAAATATTTGCTGTACTTCTATATATTTGACATCCAGAGGAATGTTCCATACTCTAATACTATTTTCTTTTTTGGTGCTTGGATCAATTATCAGCATGTGTTGCAAGTACTTGTTCTCCAAATTTGGGAGTTTGATAGTACATGTGTGATCTGCTGCTTGATGATTCCCAAAAATGGCTATAATCTGCTCTTGGTCATTTTTCCCTTCGCTGTGGATGGCAAGAAGTCCTTCTGAACATTCGAGTGCCTTGGTGAGGTACTGGATTTTTTGGCTTGTGTTTTTCCCAGGGATAGTGGAGACATTGATACCCACCTTACTTCTCTGTCTACTATATCTACTGCTTCTGTCAAAAGAAGAGCGTGGTTTAGGTTTGTTCCATTGGTGTGTCAATTGTTTACCTTTGCCTTTATTATATGTTGACCATTCTTCATCTTCTGCCAATGTTTTCCAGTTGTTGTTTTCAGCTTCTGTTTCCTCCATCTCTGTATTTGAATTATCGATTCTGATATATTTGCTGGTTCTTCATTGCGTTTGTTGCTTTTTTTGTAGAAGTTTCTGCCACTACTCTTTTCATCTCATCGCTCCATAGCTCTTTGTCTTCAGGTTCTTGGGTTGTCTCCTTGGGGTTCTAGGTTTTGGGATTAGGACGGTTGTTTCCAGGATTGCTATTTGAACTGTGCTGTTGTTAGCTGTTTCTGTTTCTCCGTTTTTCTGTTGTTGTTTCTTTGCTGGTTTTGATACTGTATATGGGATTGTTTCTTTGCTTTTCTGGCTGACCCTGCCTTTACTAAGATAGTTGACATTGTAGTTGGATCTGGAGGAAGCATTTAAGCCTCTGAGAGTCCTTTACAAACTCATTTTTTTCTTTCTTTTAACAAGTTACCAAATATAGTAATTTTGTGTGTGTGGGAAAGAGTGTTGATTCACTTGATTGATTTTGATGAAGATACTATCTCTTCCATAGCTATTATTTTTACCATAGCATATATTTATCCTGCACCAAATCATATATTAAAAATATGTATATAAATGCCTTCAATTTCTCTTGGAATTGCAAGGTTGAACTTTTCTCTTTATAAATAAAATAATTTGACCTTTACAAAACAAATCACTATTGCCTCTTTCGCTTGACCTCATACACCTTAGAATTGTACTAATTTTAGTATACCCTTATGAACTTTAGTATACCATATTGGTTCATCTATACAAAGTGTCTCCCTGCTATTAATTCTTTGTCCATATCTTTCTCCTGAGATAGGAAGATATATAACACCATGTTTTGTGTCTTTTTTGTATTGCCCATACACTAATTTATTTGCTATTTTGCCAGTATTTCATAAAGCCACTGGTACCAATGTCTAGGTTCTCTTTGTTTCATTACAATATACAAAATAAACTTTTGATATGCTGGCTTTTGATTCCAACTGTTCACTTATATCCAAGCTCTCTTTCTTCCTTTGCTAGAGCATCTGCTCTTTCATTGTTGTTGTTTTCTATATAAGCCTTAATTTTTCTAAATTTTGTTGTTGCTTTTGGACTGGATTTTATTCATGATAAGAGTTGTTGTCAGAAGATTTGTTGCTTTTGCTAAACGCTATTTTCTAGGAAGTTTAGATTATATTGCATATATTGCACTTTGGCAATCTGTATATATTATTACCTTTGTATTTGTATTTGTGATTGCCAATGCTATTAGTATTGCCACAAGTTTTGCTCTTGTTGATGATAGGAAGCCTGCACATCTGCCTTTGAACTTGACTTTTGCTTGTGTTTCTTGATCGATGATGATCCCTTCTATTCCTATTTTGACTTGCCTGTTGGCATATTTGTCCAATAAGCCGTCTGTATAGATGTCAACTATTCTTCAATCCTGAATTGTTTTTTTGGTTTCTTTAAGTTTCTTCCTGATTTTGTGATGCAATCTCAGTTCTTCCAAGTCAGTTGTGTTTGTTATTCCAATCTCTGTATTATCAATAATAATCTGAGGAATGTCTATTGTTTCTAGTGATATGTGGCTCTAATTGTGGATTTGTCTAATAGAGTTTGGTAATGTGAAAGGGAAATTGCATGGTCACATGAGTCTATGCAATGGTGATCCCAAAAATGACAAATCTGAGAAAACTG